AGAATAGAATAGAATAGAATAGAATAGAATAGAATAGAATAGAATAGAATAGAATAGAATAGAATAGAATAGAATAGAATAGAATAGAATAGGATAGGATAGGATAGAGTAGGGTGGAGTGGAGTGGAGTGGAGTGGAGTGGAGTGGAGTGGAGTGGAGTAGAGTAGAGTAGAGTAGAGTAGAATAGAATGACATAATAATAATGATAATAATAATCTCTTTATCATGCAGCTGTAAATATTCCAAGGACTTGAAAATAGTCTTCCATTTGCTCTGATTCAAAGATGTAAGCAACTATAGGTGATTATACTCGCACAGCAAAGGAATGTTGTTTTTTTTGAGTGCTATTGCCGAAGAAGCAAACGAGTTCTTATCATCATAATTAGCCACTGAGGGAAGCAAATTGATTGAATATTTTGAACAACATTAGATTTTAAAGACAAACAGACGGCACTGACCAAAGGCGTCATTGTCAATTAGTTGAATTTTTACTTAAAATAAGAATATATTGTTTACTGAATCCAACAAAAGTTTTTGAATGATAAAATCAGTCTCTCCCTGAAAACAAACAAACAAACAAACAAACAAACAAACAAAGCAAAAGAACAAAACAAATCAAAACTTACAAAAAAACACAACGGTAATCCTTTTTTAACTAAAGATTGCTCGGAAAAACCCTCTTTTCCTACTACGGCTTTTTTCGTCGATCATGCCTTTAGTGTTTCCACTTGCTTTTCCTAGATTTCTGTATTTGCTTGGCGTGTTCTTATTGATGATCTTTGTCGTTTAATATTACCATAAGACAAGAAAAGGCAGGTAAGTATAATCCCATACCTATATGAAAACCAGGTGAGTCCTTCGCTTTGGTACTTTTATATTTGAATCCACTCTAGATACGCTGGTCTTAAACGTCCAAACTGTCAATGCATGGCTACTTAAATAAGGAATTGTACGTAATTAGATATCGTACAGGTTTGGTGCAAATCTGATTTTATTCATAAGTTTAGGACGGCGGAAGCCAGTTGAGGGTCAAACTACTTTTATTCTGCAAATTTACTGATCATCATGATTATGATTTAAACCTGATTAACCAGTTTCAACGAAGGCTCGGTTGGACCTTCTTAAATCTGAGACATCTTCCTTCGCTTTCTCTATTCGTTGTCTTATGACCGAAAAATCCATTTCTATTTGTTCAAGAAATTCCCTCATATCTACTAACTCGTTGGAACAAAACTCAAGTTGTTCATCTGCTAAATTCCTTCGTGCTTCTTCTGTTTTTAACAGCTTTCCAGGTATTTCTCCTTCAAACTTCTGCACTGCTTTAAGAAACACTTGTGAACGTTGTCTCGGCGTGACTGGCTTTTTTTCTGCAGAGAATTTTCTTGCGATTAATTCATCAGCTGTTATTCGCGGTTTATTTTTCACTTGACTCAAAGATATTTCTTTTCTCGGTGATTTGCTCTTTGGGGGCGAAGCGCTAAGATGAGACCATCTTGACTTGACGATATTCTTCTCATCTCTTGGAGAAACCATCTTTAAGTCTTGTCTAGGTGAGAGGTTTGCGGAGAGTTGTTCTCTTGGTGAAGTGAGCTTTGTTTGAGCTGGACTTAGAGAAGTCTGCTTTCGTGGAGACTTGAGATTGCTTCGCCAACTCAAAGCCATAATACTTTACTCAAAATGGTCGATTAAACTTTAGAACTTTATAAAAAAAAAAAGACTGGATTAATTAGATCAATTGTATGATGAATATCATCAGTTCATCAGGTTTGTTAGATCGGCCATTTTATCTCTGACACTTGATAATACTGTTCAGTCTAAGCCACGCGATATACTGAAATTGAAGGCTTGCCTTTTACATCTACATTAGTGTATGTATCACCTTTCCAACACTGAAAGTGGAGCCAGTTTTATGTAGTAAACTTCAAGTAAAACTGGTGGACGGATAGAGTTAAACTTCTGCCGCTAAACTTCTGGCGTCATGCATACCGTGACGATAACAAAGAACTCCAAAGAACTCGGGATTTATAAACAGATAATTGAAAATTAATTGCTTTGAAGAGCTGTTGACAAACCAATCAGGACTAGATCAATGAAAGGTTGTCAGTACAGTGTATTGTTTGCTTGTGATGTTTGCCGTTATCAGTGTTTTTTATAATCCTTCTCGTTTTCATTGTTGACTTAGTTACGCTTGTAGCTAATGACACCAGCAGTTCGAGTACCATTTTCTTCCCCATCAAGAAGTTCTAGTGCAAGAAATATAGTTTACTGCTAGCATAGATGGATTGACATTTTTATCATTTATTTAATGGCCAATTAAAAAAATTAGTTAGATTTTAAGTTGCCGACTGACTTTGACACTGTAGGCGTAAGGTACAAAACTCCAGCCAAATAAAAATGTCTGTCTGTCAGCCTTTCTGTTTTTTCTATAACACAGGTATCCCAAAAGATTTCGACTTTAGTATCTGAAATCTTTTGTGAAGTAGAAATTATCAGGGACTTGTAGTGAAGTCTGATTCTTCCTTCCTTCCTTCCTTCCTTTCTTTCTTCAAGTTTGTCTTTTGATCAAAAGGACTACACAAAAAAACGTTTTTAAATAGTTGCATCATGGGTAATGCTGATTCACGCTGACACATCATATTGCAGATTCTAATTCAAAATGGCGGCCAAAGAAAAGTGCATGGAGCTCGTGGAGAATATTTCAAACTCCTCAGGCGAAGAGATTCTTCTTTATCTGAAAGATCTAAGCATCCTAATCAATACTTCTCAAGGTGCTAGTGAGATGGTCTCACTCATTCCATGTCAGCTCTTGTTTCGCTGCCTAAAATCGTCGAACGATAAACAGAATTTCTATTGCAAAAGTATCTTGAAGAAAGTTCTTCAATTTGAAAAGCCAGACGCGGTTGTATTAAAATACCACGACTATGTCATTGAGGGTATGAATCACTCGTACTTTGAGATACGTGAGCTGTGTTTAAGTGAGGTTGAACGTTGTTCAAGGTCTGTGAATGGAGTGCTTGCTCTTGTTGATAATGTAGACTTGTTGTCCTACGTTGCAAGGTGCATTGCAGATGAAAATCTCATCTGCGCTAAAATGGCTTGCAAAGTGCTAACAAATCTATCAAAACATGAGCCTGGACTGGCAATTCTTTTTCAGCACCAACTGCAGAGCAAGTTCACTGAGCTTCTGCGAAAGAAAGAGGTTATTCGTTTCAGAGTATTTGACATTTTTATTGATATCCAGAAACAATCTGATGAAGCGTTCGAAGCTTGTAAGGTTGTAGGGATATTTGAAACACTTTTGAAGGAGCTTGAAGGTGATGACATTCTTGTACAAATGAATTGTTTTGAGCTTCTTTCAAATCTTGCTAGTTCTAGTGAGAGAGGTCTGCTTTACCTAGAGGAACATGGAGTGGTTGTAAAACTTTACAACATGTTGCTAAGCACCAAAGAAGACCCTATGATGGAGCTTGCTGTACCAGGTATGTTATATAAAAATGTAAACATCATCTCTGGGGGCATAGCAGGGACCTAGGATTCTAAGCTAGGGGCTAACTCCAAGAATGAATGTTATATACAACATAACTGCATGGCAACCTACAAAGTGTGTGTTTGTGGGGGGGGGGGGGGGGCTTAGATTTGTATTGCAGAGTAGTACAGAGCTTTCAGAATGTTTTGGAGAACATGTAGGTTGTCATGGTAAGTCAGAAGTAGGTGTCTGTGATCAGATACAAGTAACAGAAGGTATTTTATAGAACAGAAAAATTAGCTGGCTGTTAACTTCGAACCATTTTCTCATTCCGAAAGCCCTGGTAGTACATGTATTTATAAGACTAAACATCTACTTGTGTCTGGGATAGGGAACGGGCCCTGAAGAGGGGCTAAAGCCTCACCAATCCCTCCCTCTCAATGCCCATGTATATGTCAGAAAACCACAACATCTATTGGAGGTGAGCATCCCCCCCCCCCCTAAATTTTTCAAGTGATGTATTCAAAGCTGCAGTTTTGCTTATTTCTGCTCTTCTAGATACTTAAACACTCACTGAACGTATGCCAAATATGCATTTTGTAGAAAATAAATTGGCTGAACCAGGGTGAGGGGGTTCAGAAATGTTTTAATTTGCAATGATTTACCCACCCCTCCACTCTAGTAAAAAAAGTTAAATTCCATTAAATAGGTACAAGAGCTGTTTGAAAAGGATTGGTAAAAGAATATGTTTCTTTGGGCCAAAAGTTTATATGTGAAAAGAATGACTAGAGTAAGATATTTTAGACGATATCCATCGTCCATCAATGAGTTTAAACTGATGATGGACGATGGATATCATCCGAAATATCTTACTCAAAAAACTTTTAGTCATTCTTTTCATATATTGGTAAAAGAGTTCCAACCATACATTTAACCCTTGGAAAAGAGAACTTTTCATGACCATTTTTTGGTTCTTTTTCCAGGTATTGTAAAGTTCTTTGGTCATGTGGCTCACCTAAGACCTGTAGAGGTTACCCAAAAGTACCCACAGTTCATGGAGCAGTTATACAGTCAAGTAAGCTGTGGTGACCTGAGACTTATGCCGATTGCAGTAGAAACTATTGGGGTCATAGCTCTTACTGATGCAGGTCTACACGCTGTGTTTAATAACCCAGCAAGAAACAAACATATTATGAAAGTGCTGTTTTCACATGCGATGGGCTCTGATTCAGATCTCCGTCTTCGTGCCTTTGAGACTTTGTCATCAATCTTTTACTCCCAAGAGAATTTTTCAGAAGAGCTTTCAAGTTTTTTGAGGGGATTATATACAGCAATGGCAAACAAACCCTTTCAAGCATTTGTGTCTGTTGCTAAACAGCCATTTGAGTCGCTGAGGTGTAGCTGTTTGAGGCTGATGAAATGTCTGGCAAAATATGAATGGGTTCAGCAAGATATGGTAGCATGTCCAGGTAATGTAGAACAATACTTCATAAAATTGCTCTATTAGCTGTTCCGACGTTTGGGGGGAAAACCGTGTTGGCATTGCAGTTCATTGTGGCAGTATTTTCAGTGATGAAATAGATGTTATCTTTCAAAAAATGTTTCCTAACACAGTCCCACAATGCACTGCAGTGGCAGTGCCAACTTGACCCAGTTTTTACCTCAGAATGGGTATTAACACTATGACACCACACCTACTGTAGTTTACATGTACATGGGCAGAAATACTGTCTTATATTAATTTAAGCTATATCTTGTTTTATTCGGGATATTTAGTGTATTATTTACAGTAGCTGTTCACTTTTCACCATCTCATAAACTGAATTTTATCATGATTTTTTTTTGTGTGTGTTGCTGCTAATTTACCTCCTCTTGCAACCATCCATAGAGTCAAGGGACTCATCATTTTTTAGCTGGGTGGAGGGGGGCGGGGTGGGGGGACTGATGGAAAACAGGGTGGCCCCTCCCTAGATCCTCAAATTTTTGATGGCAGCAACCCCTCCCCCCCCATCCCCGCAATAATAAAAAAAGCCTTTTCCAACTATTCGATTTTTTGCCTGGCTTCCCTTTTTTAGCCTAAATTTTTCAGATGGCTGCCCCATCAATTCCACTAGTCCCCCTCCCAGCTTTGAATGTGATATCGGAGGGCTTTCAATACCAGCTTGAGTAAGTGGTAAAACGCAATGAATAAGTGGAAAAACGCAATGAATAAGTGAGTCTTTCTCAAGTTTTCACTAAATATTGGGGAACTTTAAGTAAAATGGTGTAATTATTTCACTGTTTTGAAAGTATAGACTGATATTTTTGATATAATTTACTTGTTGGTATATACTAAAACCATTCTTTTCATCAAACTAGGGGGGGGGGGGGCTTTAGAATGAAAATAAAAAACAAATAGTTCTAATTTAATCCTATGTATTATTTTTATATAACCTATATGACCTTGCAATTAGTGTAACTGTTATTGCAATCGGTAAAACAAACGGTTTCAAGGCTTGCATTATGCCTAATTGCCAAATCTTTAAATTCAATGTTGCAGGTGTATTCCGCAACAAACATTTTTCAAAAAAAAATTTTTTTTTGAATAGAAGATACCAGGGAATGTTGATTTTACAAAACAATGCATTGCGAACTCCGACTCCAACTCATTTGGAACAACATAACTGTACAACAAGAGTCTTAGACTAAAGTTTTTATTGAACATTTTTAGTGGATTATACATATAGTTATACAAAAAAGGGAGGTACAAAAGTTTAGCATATTGGTTGTAAGCGTTCTCGTTCCATCAGTAGTTGTGCTTGTCAATATTCCAGGGAAATGCATGTAATAACTCGTTATCACAATAAGTAGAAAGAGTATTTCAGTGTCTCTTGGTTAGAGGCACCAGGAATGGGTCAGGCGACTTGAATGCATGGATTGGTAATATTATAGTATTATTTGACACAATCTGTCATACTGTACGAGTCCAGCGCACTGAAAAGCTAAGCCACTGTTGGATGATTGAGTTTTACTCCGGTCCACAAGTCTATCAGTATCAGCTGTAATTCAGAAACTAATAGTAGAGTTCAGAGATCAATACACTTGTGATTTAGCAATCTTTAGACAAAGACACACTGACAGAGAGAGCGTTGTTGCTCATCCTGGACCACCTTCGACGTCCTCTCCTCGACTGTTGTTTCTTAAGCCACATGTCCTTGACATTTTCCTTTGTCAGATTTGTTGTTATGCTGTGGATAAACAATTAGAGGGATCCACCATTAAATCCTCATGATGACATTCATTTATTGATTTTCTGTGAGTTGGAAAAATGTACCGAAACACTTGTTTCCACTTTAGACCAATCAGGAAGCAAGAAAATGTTATCCATCCAATCACAATGCATGTTTTTGAAAGGCATTTTATAGTCATTTCCCTGATGAAAAATCTATTTCTCACTTGATATGTTACGAGTCTTACCTTCTTCTAATGTTCTCGATCTCCTTCTCTCTGATCGTCATCTGGCTCGTCCCAGGGCGTAGCTCAACCGTCGTTTCATCTGTCAATTCTTGTTTCTGTGGTTTATCCGTCACTTCACTCGTCCTTTTCTTCTGGTTCCTTGGAAGCTTTTCTTCTTCTTCTGGTCTCATAGGAAATATATCTGTTGTTTTACAACAGCAGAACTGCTCGCCGTTATCGGATATAAAGCAGCACGATCGGTCATATACATGTAGTGTCATGACAAAAACTAGCTTCATCACTTTCAGGCCAAGCCACGCCATTAGTACCAGCATGCAGGATAAATAATGGAGTATAATGTACAACATGGCGTAAGTTACTAGACCAAAGATGTTTAGTACTATGTAACAGTCCTCGTGTATCAGCCAGATAATATAGGTGAGTAGTGTTCGTGCGGTCCATGGCTCCAACTCAAAACTACGACAGACTTGCAGGATTGCTTTGTAGATAAGGTAGATAAGGTAACAAATGCAAACCAAGCCAACCTAAATTATTAAATGCCCTGATATTTGTGGCATCAAAGGTAGAGCAAACAAAAGCAGATTTACCCCCCAGTCAGACAGGATAAAAGCTGCTTTGAAAACGACCAGACAAGCCAACATGGACTTGAATAAACAGCCAGGTATTATGAGGGGTAAAAACAGGGCAAACATCAAAGGATGAGACTTCTTGCACTGCAAAAGGTGCTATAGTACAAAGGTAATGTTCCATTTTCTGGTAATGGAGTGGTGATTCCATGACAAACCTGGAGATGAATGAATGTAACGATTATGGCGCATCTTGCAAAAATGGCCGAAAAATCATACTCGTGATGTCTTACTCATCCTCTTGTATCTTAAAGAATTGTGATTGATATATTTTATGCGAAAAATTGCAAGGGCGTTATCTTCTCTCAATGTTTTTCACCTAAGACCTTTCAAATTAGTCGTGTATTTCGTCAAGAAAAGTTTTATTGCTCTACTAAATAAATCGATTACTTTTCGTCTTACCTAGTCTTTTTTTTTTTTTTTTTTTTTTTTTTTTTTTTTCAATAAGTTACAAGAAAATTGCTTTCTCAAGTATTCTGTACTGATTTTTTTCCGAGTTTTTTTTCAGTTAGAGACCTATGATAAATCATTCTGCATGCTTTCTCAAGCTAAAGTTCTTTTTGTACGCAGTTTTTTTCTTTTAAAATTTTCACATGCAATTCGATGTCTTATCTTAAGAAAATTATAGAAAAACCGTCTTAGTATGTCAAAGTTCTTACCTGAAACTGTGCTATGTTTTATCAAGTCTTAAAATGATCCGTTCAATAGTTTTTCACTTGAGAAAACGTTTATCGCTTTGTTTCACTTCTTTTCTGAATGAACAAATTAATCAAGAGTGCGCGCAAGGTAATTAGCTGATTATCTGATTGATGACGTAATGCGCGCTCTCATATCCAGTATCACTCGTCCCTTCAGTGGAATTATGGGTAACATAATCAGTTCAAAAACCATTGACACTAAAATGGTGTATTTTATTACCCTGTTTTTAATCTTCTTTTACAGAATTTTATGGTACTTTTTCATGTATTTTGCGCTATAAAATAGAAGTATTAATAGATTTTCATTTGATTTTCAGGATATCTAGAATATCTTCTTGATCGCAAAACAGAGCCTGAGAAATCTGGCAGGGAGCTAAAGTATGATCTGATAGTTGAGCTTGCACATTCTCCTTCAGCAAAGCAAGTCTTTGGCATGCCATACCTATTGAAGTTAAGGGAGTATGAACGAGAAGGGCCCTTCTTTGCGAGAGCTGAATCTACTGTTGCTTTCGAAGGAGCAGACTAACGCGACACGGGATTGTACGCTGTCAAGGGTGGATCCAGATTGATGGATTGAATGGATGGATTGGCCATCCCTTTTGGAGTTTTATTAAGAAGAAGAAGAGAGAAAGCTTTATACTAACAGCCACCACGTCAAATCCTTCTGGACCCGACATTGGACTGCATTGTTTGAAGGAGAAAGAATTTCACGTAAAATCTGTAATGACTAGAATGAGATACTGCAATGACTAACAAAGTACTCAATAAAAACTGTAGTCTAGAAGATTTATTTTAAAAATTAATGCAGCTGTGATTAAGTGTAAAAGTCACATTCAGCCACCCCGTAAAGATCATCCCGGATCTGCCTTTGTCTGCTTTTGTTCGAAAGAGAACTAGTAAGAGCATTTTATGCGAAATGCTAGGTACTGCAATGACTAACAAAGTACTAAATAAAAACTGTAGTCTAAACTAAAAGAGTTATTTTAAAATTTGGTGATTTAAGTCTAAAAAACCGATCCAGTTTGAGCACTATTTCTTCCCATCACAGAACACGTTAATTGCGGTTCTTGAGAATAAGATTATTTATTCCAGTCTTATTAGAGTGTTAGTCTCGTTAGCAATAGCGCAGTGCAACCGTGACGTCATAAAACGAAGACAAAGGCGAATTTCGGACAAACAAACTTACAAGTTTACTTTCAGCAGATAATTTTCACAGCCGATCGCAGTTGATCTTAGTTTACATGGGTTATTATTGTAACTTTAAGTAAAAATAATAAAATCGGTTCGTATAATCCTTGTAGCGGTGAAACAGAATGCAATGTTTGTCCGGATCTTTAAGCTATTTTTAGAATCAGTGCGCTACGCTATTAGTCCTCCAGTCTGAATGGGCTATCGACTCATAGGCCATGAGGACGAGAGGACTAATCGTCTTACTCAAATCCAATTAGTCGGTCAAATATATCTTTGCAAACAAGTTTTGAATTGAAGTTAAATTTGATGTTTTGGTTTTCGGGGCCGGCACTTTTCGTTACTTATAGCCTAGTAGTAGCTCATCCAATCAGAACGCAGCATTGATGATAGACCACTAGTTGGATTCGACTCAAGAGCATGACATGCGTATGAGAGGGTAAATTATACCTAAGTAGACCAAGTATATTGTTTGCTAAAATGAATAAAATATATCAGGCCGTCAACAAAACGTTTCCTAATTTGATAAAATCACGTGGTGTAATTAGAAAACCAAGATATATCTTTGATTTTACATCTGTATGCTTTTCTAGAATCGGTTACAATTTCTCGCCGAGCATAAAAATAGAATCTTAGGTTTCTACTTGACACCAAAATATTAACATTATATCTAAGATTTCTGGAGAAGTCACTTTCTTGCTCTGTACACACGGCTCAGAGGAGAAGCCGGCTTCGATGCTTGCTCGCGTGTTTCATCATGTCCCGATACGAATATTTGCGAGCTATTTCTTTGGAATTCCCTTGGATAACGACTGAGGGCAGCATGAAAGCAATACCTATGTAATATAAACAATACACTATGCGGACAGATTATCTTCCTCCGAAATAGTTCTAAATAATTTTGCTCGCTCGACCAAATAATTTTAAATAATATTTTTGAACAAATAATTTTGAATGATTAAATACTTTTGTGTAATTTAATGCGCGCGCACATATGCCATGGTTTGATTGCGTTTTTCTTTTTTAATAAGCTTGAAGCGAGATGACGTTTTACCTCCGACTCTATGCCATAATAGTTTTTAAAATTCTTTCATATTAAAATTTTTGATTCCTTAGAGAATACAGGAACAATAGTCTTAATTAAAGAACAAAAGCAATGTGAAAAGGATTATGGTCTAGAGACGGGGCAAAACGTCATCTCGCTTCAGGCTTATTGTAACGTTATCATTTTCTTGAGGATGGCCGAGTAGGCCGAAAGCTCGGATCATATTTATTAAATTTATGGTTGATTAAACAAACTATTATGAATTTTGAAATTTTTTTGAATAAATAATTTTGAATAATTTTGCTCGCTCGAGCGATCGAGTACCATTAAAAATCATTACTTATTGCGTGCTCGCTAAATCTTTTCTTAATTTTTGAGCTTTGTGTTTTGTGATGTTCCAGCCTGAGGAAGGCTTATATTTACATGGTATCATTGCGATCTTCCAAGGTGATTCACAATCCAGCACTCTTTTTTAAGTCAGTGGGGGCGTTTTTTGGCATTTCAAATGTCTTTGTTACGCTACTAGTGTACTTTGCATGCTCTTCACAAACCCACACGCCACCAATTCCTTTACGCATCTCTTGAGTCAGCCCTCCAAATTGGTCTATTCCTTCAAACGGCTTGATCACCGTTCTCAGCTGCTCGTAGTCACATCCAGACGTTTGGAAAGCGACTTGATCTTTGGAGCATGCGTCAAGATGCTTGGGTTGTTTCATGGTGTTTGCTGTTTCTTGAAAACCTTTGAGAAACTTGTCCATCTAAAAAAAATATTTTTCAACATTATATGTCAGATTTTTTAATGATTTATGGGGGTCGGAAATTGTGTTCTCACGCTTTTTATAGTAACTTCAGTGAACCCATATTAGGAGGACCAGTGCACTCGATGAAGTGTTAGAGTTGAGATACTTTCGTATTTTTTGTGATGAAACTGGACGTTATTTGTTCAAGACATATTAATGGCCCTTCTCAAAATTATTTTGAATGCGAAGCTAACTTGTAAATACAAAAGAAATATCACAAATTCCATCAAGAAAAAGTGTGATTTCTTTTGTATTAGTTCATGTTAGGCTCGCATCCAAGATAATTTTGAGAATGGTTCATTGCTTGGTATGTATCAGTTATATACTTGAATATCCTTCTTCAGTGAACGGCAAACACTGTACTCCATCTTCAATCATCCATTTTGATGGAAAATTTACCAATCAGTACATGATGGCAGTAGATGGAACGCGTACCTACCTGTGAAAAGTAGCGATTCAAGTTCTTCATCTTCCCGGCTGAAAATCCTAACACTGTTCGCAAGGCTGACGAGGTAAGAAATACCGAACCATAGCCGAATGATGGCAATAATGGTCCAAAAGCCCCGAGAATTTGCAGAAGCTGCACTAACATCTGAAAATATTGAACAAATTTTAAAAGCACATTTTGAAAACTGTTACTATTGTTGGTGTTCTCTTCCCATGAGAATAAAAGGACAAAAGGCCGTGTTGGTTGACGTAACAAAAGACACCAAGACCAAATCTAGTCAAAGTCAACCAAAATGGCGGCTATGACGTCACCTGCACCCCAAGAATATAATCGAGAAAGGTACTTACAAAAAATACTCCTAAAATTTATAGAGCAACTAGAATTAGAATCCGGGGCGTGAATCGATTTAGAAAGTTTCTAATTCTCTTACTGCAATTCCCAGTCACACGCGACCAACTAGACCTACATCACAAACAAAAAATTGAGTTTGGGTGGACGTCAATCAAAAAGGTTTCTATCGTTTCTATCGGTTTCTACACCAAGGCTGGCGTTAATACTCACGTGAACACGAGCAAACGTGCGCACGTGCAAAAACCGTTGCTCTTATCTCATGCTGTGAATTTCTCGCTCTGGGAATAATTTCCCAAAATTTTCACAGGATTCCGGCTCCGAATCTCAATGGCTTGACTGCAAAGCTATCGGTATTGACTATGATTTGAGCTTCTTCAAGACCAGATAAGTCAATACCTTTAGCTTTTCATTTGAAATTCGGAGTCGGAATCCTTAGACATGTTTAAGAAACCCTTTTGATTGACGTCCACCAAAACTCAATTTTTCGTTTGTGATTTAGGTTTCAGTTGGTCGCGTGTGACTGGGAATCGCAGTAAACCACCATTTAAGTCCCAAAATTCAACGCGAACTGTCATCGTTCAAAAGGCGAATTTTACAAACTCTGTTTGGTATACCTGTAAGGTTTTCCTTAGTTGACCCGTATACTTCAACACAAACTCGTTGACATTTAATATTTCGTAGCCTTTGTGCTTGGAAGGTTCCAGAAAGTGAATACCTGTGCCGTCCCCATTCCCTTCGCACAGCAAATAGAGTCGGAACTTTTGTTGCTTGTAGAGCAGTAAAGAAAGCTTGAGAGTAGCCAAGATGTCACCACTGGTTCGTGATTCTTCTTCAAAGACCGGTAACAAGCAAAATGTACGTGGTACATCATACTAGCAAAAGAACATCGAAAGATCAATACATGGACATAAATTTGCATCCCGTCGCGGTAGTCTCTTTTAGGAAACAGTGCGCATGAAAAAAAAAAAACCGTCGTCGTCCGACGTCGGCTTCCTCGCTCCATTTGTGGATCTTAAGGTCCCTATTAGTGAGGACCCCCGATTCAAATACAAACCAGTTGGCTTAGGAGCGCCGCGGCAAGATTTTTGATGATGTTACCTTGACGATAGGTAGCCAGCTTTGTCGAATTTAATTAGCTGAAACAGTAGACAGGTGATTATTACCCACCTTTTGATCAGAAAAAAACTTGGCCATCGTCTCAAACTGTTCACTCATTTCATTTAAAATCCTCTCTTCTTGTTGGTTCATGTAGTGCACTAAGCGTGGGGCAATTTGGCGAGAAGAGAAACTCTTTAGAGGAGGACTTTCTAGGGGAAAAACAACGGTTACCTTATATAAGTTTGGTTATTGGAAATTACTCTCCCCCACTACCAAGAAAAGATATATTAACTAGCTAAAAACTAGTGTAATATAAAAGGGTAAATTATACACCGTGAAA